AGCACGCCGGCCCCGAGCCGGCCGAAGCAGAAGGCGCTGAGAGCTCTCCAGAGCCGACGTCGGACAAAGGCGCGGCCGTCGGCAACGGTGAGCCTTCGCCGGAGCCGCCTTCGCTGGACGGTGAGGCGGACCCGGAGGCGAGTGGCGGTGCGTCAGGTCCCGCCTCGCCACCGGGGCTGACGGCCGAACCGGACGCCGGCATGGCGCCGCTCGGCGACAAGAAAAGGCGGCTGAACGAGGCGCAGAAGCTGCACCTCAACTCTGAGTGTCATAAGACTGAGATCCTGGCGAGCAAGCTACGCCACACACCGTGTCGGCTGAGCGGCGCCGCGGCCGCCGCGCAGCCGCCGCTTCTCCTCCCGAACGGCGACGAGCCAGGGCCGCCGGCCAAGCGACGACGCCGACAGGCCGAGCGGCCGCGGCCGCGCGCTGCCGAGCCGGCCGGTGCGCGCCGCCGCTCTACAGAGTCGCCGGCGGACGGTAGCGAGAGCGACGGCCCGCCGCACCTGGAGCCGGAGGTACCGCCGCCGCCAGCGGCGGCGGCGGCTGCGGCGGCGGCGGCGGCGGCGGCGGTGGCGGCGGCGCGCGTCCGCGGTCGGCCGCGGCGCGGGACGCCGGCGCCCGAGCTGCGGGCGGCGGCGCCCGACGCCGCCGCTGTGACATTCACATTTGAGGCACCGCCGGCCGGGGAGGAGTGGTTTCGGACGTTTGTGCGCCAGGAGGCGGGTGACTTTGTGCTAGAGGACTTAACGGACGTGGAGGCCGGCGGCGGTGTGCTGCTGCCTTACCAGATGCCGACCGAGGAGCTGTTCCCTGCTGAGCTGGTGCCGGGTGGCGGACGGCCGCGGCCGTTACGATCGGCCACCCTGCCCGACCGCCTATTACCGCCGCTGCCGCCGTGCATTATCCCACTAGGCAACGTGCCGCCGCGTCGTCCCGGCCGGCCGCCGCCACTGCCGCCGGCCGGCGAGAGTCCCGAGGAGCTGCAGCGCGCGTTGGACTGTCTGGGCGCGGCCGATGAGCCGCAGCGGCTGCGGCGTCGCTCGGGCGCCGAGCTGGCGACCGCCGAGCCGCCGGCAGAGCTGGCGGCCGCGCTGAACGGCTGGCCGGCCGACGCACCGGTCTCGGCGCTGGCCGCCCTGCTGTCGGTCGACGACGGCGACGCGGCCGACGAGAGCGCGCCCAGCCGGCCGCCGTCGTCGGCCGACGAGGCGAGCAGCGTCAGCACTGACTCGGCGTCGGTCGGCAGCGGCAGCGGCGGCGGCGGCGGCCGCCGTCGGCCGGCGCGTCGGCGCAAGAACCGCACCGGCTGGCCGCGCGCCCGCGTCCGCAAGCCGAGTCTGCTGAAGACGGCCGTCAATCGGGCGGCGGCGGCGGCTGAGACGGACCGCGACAGCTCGGTCGGCCCCAGTTAGCACCGCTCGCTCATCAGTCACCCAGCCCTGCCGGGGTTGTATTTATTAGGCGACCTGCGGATCAAATCCGGTATGCCTTATTCCGTGTTTGCGGCCCGCCCGGCGCGTGTCGTCTAGATGTGTTCTCAGGAAGTCGGACCGTCTCACGTTTCTCGATGTGTTGCGTACAAAGAAGGGGCAGTGGGCGGTCCCGGACAGAGGGTTCAGAGAGATGGTCCCGGACAGAGGGTTCAGAGAGATGGTCCCGGACAGAGGGTTCAGAGAGATGGTCCCGGACAGAGGGTCCTGCTGAGATTTTTTCGCGTGACTCGCGGTTTCATGTGTTGTCGCCTGAAGTGTGCACAGGTCAATCGTGTCTAAGTTTCGTGTCAAACACGTCCGGGAAAGCAAGTGATATTTCACCTGTTCTTAACTGCATGTGCATTGGCACATAAGCGACACAGTATTTCAAGTTCAAAGTGTGTTTTATTCCATGACCGTTTTGGATGAAGGATCGGCCACTCCGCAATGGCAAGAAGTGGTCAGGGCGTGCGCGGCTTGAGTATGCTCACGACGTTCGCTTTTGTCGCACGGCGCCGTGGATTCACGCATACCTGGTTAGTCTTGATTGCATCGGCCGTTCTTTTTTTAAATATAGCTGCTAGAAGAAATCTAGCAACAGGAGCAACTAGCACGCGACATGTGTCTTCAGCGCGGAGTTGTGAAGTGACGCTGCTCCTCTGTGGCTGAGACGGCACAGGAATCAATCCAAACTTAGCGGATCAGCACGCCCCGCCCAGATATCCGCATACGGCGAGTCTATAGCCCATGTGTTCCGTGTACCATTCTTTTGTAATGTGTGAGTGTTTTCATAAGAAATTGTGACAGTGCAGAGCGATCATTCGTATATTACAATATGCTTGTTTTGGCGCGTTGTGTGCATGAAGCGCTGGTGTCTGTGGGTGGATGATATCACCGTATTTCACAGGCTGAGACCCGTTCATATCATTAAAAACTGACAGAAAAAGAGGTCCAGCCCTTACGGTATCGTTTCCGAAAAAGAGGAAGCCCAGCCTCTGGCTGCCATCGCTGAAAACCCAATGGCATCGTTGCGGGCAACATTGCGTCAGTGGACTATGGGATCTTGGCCTTCGGACATTGACGGTTACGGCGGATCAGACGGGATACGGCGCGCGCCATGCTACGCGGCCGGCCAATTCACTAACCACAGCGCCTATCGGCCCGGTCAGCCCTGGCACACGCACAAACACCGCCCCTGGGGCGCAGTGCGTGGCGTCACAGAGACTACGTCATACGCGTAAAAGGCGTGGGACCTGTGCACACCGTTTTGACGCATTTGCCCGTGGCCCGGTCGGAAGCAGGCTGACGGGCACTGGCCCCTGAAGAACGCGCCTCCAACGACTGCCAGTCTGTCGGGGACCGACGACTGCGACGCGCTTCACCAGAAGCTGGGCATCGGTGACCGATATGTCAGCTCGATCAGTGATCGTTGCCGAGTTTATCGTCTTGTGAGTATTGTTGGATCGCAAGGTCGTTCCCTTTTGAGTTGACCGCTCGCAGCAACACCCGCTCTGTATCCCACACCTTGTTCACGAGGGCTGGCGGGCGGTGGGGTTTCACCAGCTGATATCTTCAAAGCGACGCTCACGACGCGGCTATTTGACAACGGAAATACACCATCAGCCACGCTGCTGGAACGCCGCTGTCAGTACCGCGCCACACACTCCGATGGGGTGTTTGACCCGTCCGTCTGTGTTCTTACGCGACTGTCAGCACCGCGCCACACACTCCGACGGGCCTTCAGTCCGTCCATCTGTGCTCGCAGTCCAGTTCACAGGTGGCACAGTCGGCCAGGTATAATACTTTTATTTGTCCAGTTATAAACGGGCCGTGGAGCGGTGGCGCCCAGCTCGGCCTTCCGCGGGTGAGCAACACAAAAGGTCCCGCTGGCCGCACGCCGACACGGAGACGCCCGGGCCGTCGCCGTCCGACGCACGGTGGTGGCGCGCCGCAGCACAATGAGGTAGCAATGAGGTCTGGCGGGCGGGCTCCGTGGGGACGCGTCCGGCTGGCGAGGTGGAGGAGGTGGGGCGCCGGCGGCCGGCCGGGGCGGCGCGGCGGCCGGCCGCCGGACCGCACGTTTGTACTCTGTCACGCACTGACGGCCGCGGTCGGCCGACGCGAGCGCCGAAGAAACGCACACCATGTATAGAGGAGGAAGCGGGGCGGCGCCGACGAGGCCTCCACCGGCCTGTGGGCGGGCGGCGCCGACTCGGTAGCCGCCACGCCGCGGCGGGACGGCCCCACCGGCGTGCCAGAGGAACCACACGCAAGCGGCTAGTTACGGATACACAGGTTTGTACAGACGTTCTACGGTACAGTTTAGTGGGTACAGCCGGTCGGTGTACGGGCGGCCGGGGATACGCGCAAAGATATCGCTATCTTGGCCGGCAATGCGGTCTGGGCGTTTCTCATCTTTCGCACATCATCGTCTCAGTTGGGGGGTCTGTCAGTCAGTTCTTGCTTCTCAACGTGCCCAAGGCCCATGGATCAGGTTCGGTGGCCACGTCGTCTTCAGCGCGTCGACCACGCCGCTGCCGCCTCGATTTCATCCAGGATGGAAACGAGATCCGATGGGTGGGCTCCGGCGGCGGCGGCGGCCGCCGCGTGGCCGCCGCCGGTGCGGGTGTGACCGAGCCGCTGGTCGTCTACAAGGACCAGGGCGACGGGCCAGCCGTGTACGGGTGGGCGTGTCCACCAGGCATCCGATGCCTTGCGTCTTCGGCTCCACCCGGCAGTTCTCCTCTCCTGCCTTCGTGCGACCACCACGCTTGGCAGCGCGGATGGGTCTAGCCGCCGTCCCGGCCGCCGCCTGGCCCAAAACACCAGCCGGCTGGCCTTTTGCAGACAACAAGCCAACTCGTCTGGCGGCTCGCGCGCAAAACTGAAGGATACCTTCGCTAGCACATACAAAAATAAGCTATGCACGCACGAGTCGGAGAAGACCCCGGCTTTTCACCGGGCCACTCTCCCCTCAGTTTGGCGCTCTCGCGTCTTCGGCTCTTCGCGCCCTTCTTGCACACACGCTGTTCGCCATCTGCGTGCCCGCCTACATTCAAACTCGCTGCCTTGTGAATCGCTTCAGTCGGTCACTCAAGTCTTTCTCTTGTGTACACTTGATCCAATCTCCCTACCTCCATCACCCCCTCTCTATCTCTCTTTCGCTCTTCCGCTCACTCACGCTCTTCCTCTCTCGCTCCATCCCTTTATCCGTTTCCCTCGCTACCCCCTCGTACCTCCTCCAATTCAGTTTGTGTCCATCTGAATCCGTCAGCGCGGGTAGCCGCCGCGCCGTCAGTCTCGTTGGCGGCCGGCCGGCAGCGCCGCGCCCTGGCCGCCGGCCGCCTCGGCGCTGGTCCCAGGCAAACCTCTTGCTCTCGACGCGCACTCCGTAAGGACAATCAGCACCCTGAGAATGTCGTCATGGCCGGGCGGCACCGCGCCCGCCGCCCGCCGCCCGCCGCCCGCCGCCCACCGCCGCGGCCAGGCCGGCCGCCCCGCTCAGAGCAGCGGCGAGGCGTCGCCGCGTGGCGGCCGCGGCACTGGCGGCGCACCCTGCGCCACCAGCGCCCGGATGCGCCGCTGCGCCGACTGGACGGAGATGAACGGGCCGATCATGTGGACAGCTGTTTCGGTGGGCGCGACGCCGTCTTCTGGCGGCTGCGGCAGCTTAATCACGGTGCCGGTGGTGCGCTGCAGCTCGCGCACGTTCTGGCCCTTCTTGCCGATGATGCGGCCCACCTGCGAGCTGGGCACGGCGATCTCGATGGAGAGGCGCACGTCGTCCAGTCCCGTGCCGTAGCCCTCTTCCCGCAGCTTGTCGAAGATCATGTACTGCGCCTGCGACGGACGGCAACGGTCAGGCGGGGACACGGCTGACATCTGGTGCGGGCTGGTACAACAGCACGGTCAGACAAGGGCGGGACTGGCACAGCAGCACGGTCAGGCGGGGGCAAGGCTGACAGCCGGTGCGGACTGGCACAGCAGCACAGTCAGGCGGGGGCAGGGCTGACAGCCGGTGCGGGCTGGCACAGCAGTACGGTCAGACAAGTGCAGGGCTGACACAGCAGCAAGGTCAGGCGGGGCAGGGCTGACAGCCGGTGCGGGCTGGCGCAGTAGCACCGTCAGGCGGGAGCAGGGCTGACACAGCAGCACGATCAGGCGGGGGCAGGGCTGACAGCCGGTGCGGGCTGGCACAGCAGTACGGTCAGACAAGGGCGGGGCTGACACAGCAGCACGGTCAGGCGGGGGCAGGGCTGACAGTTGGTGCGGGCTGGCACAGCAGCACGGTCAGACAAGGGCAGGGCTGACACAGCAGCACAGTCAGGCGGGGGCAGAACTGACAGCTGGTGCGGGCTGGCACAGCAGCACGGTCAGACAAGGGCAGGGCTGACACGGAAGCACGGCCACGCGAAGACAAGGCGTGCTGACACTGATACAGCTGCACAGTTATGGGATTATCACACAGGTGACCTGTCTGAAAGGACACAGCACTGCACGCGCCAGCCCCCAGCATCAGACACACCGGAACCATCGGCAGGGCAGCATGAGTGGACCCGTGAAAATGGTGTTTTAGGTTAGTCTATTCCAACAATCAGCCAAGCGAGGAGGCCCTGGTACTCAAAAGAAACTGATCAAGTGCGGATGAAATGCTGGAGTAACGAGATCGTCACTAATATCATGGGAAGTGGAATGGAAACATCTCATTTTGGAGCAATGGACTCCAAATTGGAAATCCGTCTCCTCCAAAATTCAAAGTTTGATCACCCATGCACTCTGGGACAGCGTGCTTTTTACACAGCAGCCACTTGAGAGCATGTAGCGGATCAAAAACACGCGACCTGGCTGCGCACCAAACCGGTGGGATACACAGATACGGCAGGAGGCGGCAGGATATGGACGCCTCGCCAGAAGTCTTAAGTATCACACTGTGAAGCAATTTGTTTGGGAAACGTGGGAAAAGCTCCCAGTTACTGAAAGCGGGCCAATTAGAGTTTAACAGTAGGATCGATCATCTTGTTCCAGTGATAATTGCGATGAACACTGGATGATGCACAACAGCTGTTTGTCGGGACAGCTCGAAAACAAATTGCAACATACATTTACATCGTTTCTGTGCCATTCCAAAGTAGTACAATCCGAGACTAGACAGTAACAATACACACTACAGTTTGCAAGAGCACCCGCTCCACTCCCGACCTCTACCGGTGCTGCCAGTCCCTCACCTTCCACTGGGCCTCAGGCGTGCCGTAGATGGCCACCTTCCGCTCAGCAGGTCGCTCCGTGGGTGGCGGCGGCTCGGCCGCGCCGGCCGACTCTGCCGTGCCCTCGTCTTCTTCGGCCCCTCCTCCACCACTGTCACCGCCGCCGCCGGCGCTGTCCCCGCTGCCACCGCCGCTGCCGGCGGCGCTGTCGCCAATACCGCCAACGCTGTCGCCGCTCCCTCCTGCTCCTCCCGCACTGCCGCTGCTGTCTCCTCCGGCGCCACCACTGCCGTCTCCTCCGGCGCCGCCGCCATCACCTCCTCCGGCACCGCCGCCGCCGCCGCCTCCTCCGGCGCCACCGCCGCCGCCCAGCGGCTCCTCCTCCTGCTGGCCGATTTTGACGGAGGCGGCCGAAAAGCGGATCATGCTGCGGATGTGGCTACCCTTGCGGCCGATGATGGCTCCCACGGCCGCGCTCGGCACGTACACGTACACCGTCTCCGGTTGGCCGTGCAGAGCAGGCATGCCGGCCGGCGACGGGTACATGGGGCCGTAGCCGGCCGGGCCGGCGCCGTAGAGGCCGGGCTCGCCGCGGCCGTAGCCGCCGGCCGGCCCGGCCATCAGCCGGCCCACGTCAGCGTACAGCGGCACGTGCGGCGCCGCCGAGTGCATGTCGTTCTCGTAGCTCTGGCGCAGGCGCGCCATCACCATCCGCTCCGCCTCGCAGATACCCTCCGGGCAGCCCTTGATGGTGATGGTGCGGTCCAGGTTGAAGCTGTTCACATCCGTGGCGCTGCAGAGAGTGGACGTAAAGGAGGCGCGGTACACGTGCGTGGAGGGGCTGGTCGGCAGAGCATGGGGTCGAGGCGGCGCGCCGCTCGAAGATCTGCCCCAGCGGTGACTAAGTTTGTACACAGGCACTGGATAACCATGACCGTAAACGATCCAGTTCGTTCTGCGTTGAAATACCTGAACCGAAGCAACACGACCGATGGTGCTGACGGTGTCGCAGGTACCAGCGTGAATGCACAATGCAGTGGTGCGCCAGGCACAGAATCAAACATGTCATGGCAGCACGCAATCCACCCCGCAACTTTCTGACATGCGCAGCGAATACAATAGAGCGGACATAACGGTTATCATGTAACACTTAAAACAATTAGCTTAACGTTTTTTCCCACGACGCCATCCCGTCCGGCAGCAAAACTGCCCCAACTCTTCTGAACATCTGATATTCGAGTACTCAGGACAGAAATTTAGGTATCTTATAACTACACCGTCAACCATCGATGACGCCTCGGGTTCTGTGAACACTGATCAGCCAAACATGACGCACGTGGAAGCGTCACTACCTCTCTTTCGACGAGGAACAGAGAGGCAGGGGGAACAGCGAAGGCCATCGGGTTCTACTGGCCGAAACACTGTACGTGAGCCAGCTGGCTCTGACGTTACAGCACACATACTAGATCAAGCACCGTTCCTCCTTTTTCAAGGTACTCTTGCCCCCGGCACAAAACCCGCAGGTACACGGTGAGAGCGTTAAGGACGGTCGGTCTCAGCACGTGGCGCGTCTTCTCCAGTGGTGCCATGTACGGCGGAGCTTGCCTGGTAACCACTCCTCATCTCCCGCTCATGCAGAAGTCAAGCAGAGCAACGATAGGTCAGGGGGCAGACAACCCATGGCAACAGCAGAAGAGTGCTTTCCGTCGCGACCCCACCTGTTCACTTTCAGCACAAGTTTTACAGAGAAGGGACGCCATATGTCCGATTCTTTCACCCGCCTATCATAAAAGCTAGCTGTTCACCAGTTAAGAAGGGTGAACCTGCATATGGCAGCAAAACCCTCCCTTGAAAAGGCCGGGAAAGGCAACGTTACGTTATGTCAGACGCTGAATCAGAGAGCATTTGTAATTTGAAATCGTATGAAAAGCGGCTATATCAAGTGCATGGCTCCCGGTTTTTTATATCGATAGCTACGTTATTCTGATGGTACCTGTGGCGAAAATATGCGCAATATTTCTGTTCCGTCCTCATCCTCTTGTTTACAACAATACAACAAATAATACTAATAGCATGATGCTAGGCGACAAAAGGCGCACAAAAATCAATCCAAACGGCACGCACCAATCAACACAAGCGGATGCACTAATCTTTCAGTTGAATCGCATTCCACGGCGTTTAATCGGAAGTGGCCGCAGAGACGAGAGGAAGCGCATCAGCCTGTCGGCTCATCTGCCTGTCAGCGCGCGGAACGCCGAGCCCGCCACCTACCGGGACACGGTGATGCGAGTGTCGGTCTCCTCCATGATGCCTTTGATGACGTTACCGCCCTTGCCGATGATACGTCCAATCAGATTATTGTGAGCCAGGATCTTCAGAGGCACCTCGCTGAAACAACAACACTGATTAGCGGGCCATCCCTGCGGCCCCAAGCGTGGTTGGCTTAAAGAACCTGCCATTTTCAATGTTGGGTTAGGGCCACGCACCTGGACCACGATCATCTGATGCTGGAACTTTTGTGTCATCTGCATAGTTTATGTCGATCGAGGTTTGTTACTGTACTGGCATTTTGGTGTTCGGTTTGACCCTTTTCCCACGGAAAAGCCAGCAGAGCAAACAACTGTAAATTGGCCGAAGCGCGGCGTTCTGTGCGGCGCTAGAGCAACTTTGCATAGGACGGGGACGGTGACAAGCCAGCGCTGATCCTACCACCTGTTTAGGATACACTAGCTACATGACAGTGTGTTCGCTATGCTCTAAGCCCCAGTAGATCGGCGCCGCCCTCTCTGAGCTGGAGATGGACCCACCAGCTGTGTACGGACAGCAATCTGCCAGCAGGAAACAAAGTGGATCGCATGACTATGCCTCGCTACGGTGCACTTGCTTTTCACTTGGAGGACTCGTAATCTCCATATCTTAGGGTAAATGGTGACCGGATTCTTGCAACGCTTTCCCAAGTACCAATGCTTTCCTGCCGCGCTGACGAGAAAGTACTGTCATGGAAAAAGATCGGCTCTGTGGTTCAAAAAGAGTAAAAGTTGCATTTTGTTGGACTTAGCGTAAATATTGCACAGCATAAGACATACCTCAATCTCAAAACACGATAAAAGATATTTAGTTTGTCCCTGGATCGGTCCAGTTGTTGGAATTTTCCTCGACTCACAGTTCTTTAAGAAGCCTGTGACAGGACGGCCAGCGTTGTACTGGAATCTTAGGATATCACCAACGTGTGATTTAGGTTTCACACTCATTTACAAAAACAACACTGTTCAACTGTGCTTTTGATAACTGACATATGAACTTGTTCATGAGAAAACATAATGAACCATCTCAGTATACCTCTTAACTTAGTCCCCGTCAATGTTCCTACGAAATATATTCATGATTAAGTGTCGCACTACACAGCACTTCATAAAAGTGTCGCGCTACAGAGCACTTAAAAGTGTCGCACTACAGAACACTTTAAAGTGTCGCACTACAGAGCACTTCTGTAGCCTGGGAAACCCTTTCACTGCGGAGGCCAACCATGATAACTGTAATATCACCATCCAAAAAGGTCGTCGGCCTACCCTGCGCTCCGTAAAATGATAAAGTGCGTCCCAAAAGTAAAACTGCTGTGGCATGTTGCGTTTGATTATCCGTTGTGTAATGGGTCGCTTTGACTCGCAGAGGCCTCCAACCCGGCGGAGGGCCCCACGACATGTGTTTGCCCACCCGCCCGGCGGAGGGCCCCGCGACATGCGTTCGTCTACCCACTCGGCGGAGGGCCCCATGACATGCGTTTGTCCACCCGCCCGGTGGAAGGCCTCACGACATGTGTCTGTTCACCCACCGACAAGCTCGTGGCGCAGGCCCTGCTGTGTGGCGGACGCAAAACAGGCCAAACAAATGGGAAACGCATATAAACATTACTCACTGCATAACCAGTTAATGGCACATGGCGATGCCTATGCTCTGTATGGCCGAACTACACAACGACCATGCAGTTCTCTCCTTGCTATTGAAGCAGAACACTTATCGGTGTTGGCCAACCCTTATTGAAACTTAGGCGAGGCGCAATTAACAAGATGTGCTAAAACCTTCACAAAGCGCGCTACGCAAATGCTAATCACCCAAATCGAATGTGTGCTTAGTGCAGCGAATGTGTGAATAGCACAGTGCGGCTGGGCGTCACATGATCAGGGACTTAACATTGCTTATCATATGACCGGGAAACGCTGGTAGGCCACTTCCTATCCAGCGGTGCCTCACAACCTCCCAGTTTCGGCGAGCCGCCTGTGGCAGACAACTCGTGCGACGGCGGCTGGTTTGAGAACCGCTGCAGCCGGTCGTCCACCATCATCTGGCATTCCCGGAACAAGCGCCGGGGAGCCAGTCACGGGAGCGGCCGCGCCAGCGCCCGGCCCCGGCCCCGGCCCCGGCCCCGGGCCCGGCCCCGGCTCCGGCCCTGGCCCCGGCCTCACCCAGCCAGAGTGACGGCTTGGCCTCCACCACCCCGCGCCCGAGGCATCGGCGTCCAAACCTGCCGCAACCTGATGCACCGACGCCAGGTTGGTTCTTGGTGGACAGGCCATACTTTGCCTGTTAACTGGGAAGGCACATACCTCCCCAATCGGGCAAAATCCCTCCCAAATCGTGGACCCCTCCCTTCACAGTGTAGAACGTATTGAGAAGCATATGCAACTTACGGAAACTAGGTTGACGTGGATGAGTGGAGTGGATAAAACTGTGCGTGCCAGGAGAACGCTCGGTGTATGTGGTAATAAATATATTTTATCCTCTCCAAAATGTTTCATATGTTAAGGGCGGACAAAGTCCTCCACTCCCTAACCCCCTCCCCCTCCACTCCCTAACCCCCTCCACCCCCTGCTTCACGATTGCCGGGCTCCCCAGTGGTATTTTATTAACATATGGCCTGTTGGAGGGAACGAATTAAGTCAGACAGCATGAGACTCGTAAACGGCATATTGTAATGTACGCTCATACAGTTTGTAAACGTTTGGCCAAAGTGATACGCTGCATAAAGTTGGAAGCAGAAGTCACGTTATCAATTTGGAAACCTTGGTATGACGGGAGACGGGCTATCGTATTTCGAGCTAAGTTGAAAACCAATAATTCTACTACTGAGAACGACGCTGCTTGCGCGTGGTCGGTACACGTCAAAGCCAAAACATTTCATACATAAGACCATATCGTTAATGCCGAACGAAGCAACCTTTCCGTTTGCATTTACAATAAAATAAATTTACCACAGAACAATAAATGTAATAAGATCTGCAACTGTAATGGGCGTTGACAGCCTAACCTACTGCCAGACAGACAGCAGACACTGCCATTTTGCCGTTGCTGACCGTAGAGGTGTGCTGAGTGGCAAGACGTGATCTGACCCAGGGCCTGAAGCTCCCTGCACTTGCACAGCTTCACGTTCGTATGGGTCACAAGCTTGGACTGACGTTTTGCGTCAGAATCCAACATGCTCTTGCCACATCTAGTAAACCCCAAGAAGCCGTCTAGCGACAGACTGAAACATTTCATGGGAAACTCCCTGCACGGTACTGGGTTCACCAGTGGTACCCGGGCGCGTCTCAGCTCCCCGCGGCGGTTCCCGTGGTCCTGATCACCACGTCACGTGCATGGATGTCATAATAACAACTGTTGGCATCAATGTCGACATCAGTAACTGCAAGGATCATTAGCGTCCCCAGCCCTGGTGGAAACCGGTTTGGTAAAAGTTTCCAGCTGCGGGACGGAAATGGAACCTGAACGTTTGACGGTGAGCTCGACCCCCGTACACGCTAGACCGCTTCGATGAATATGATCCCCACCCTAGCCATCGGAATGCTGTCCGTCCGGCAGGGCGCCCGGAAGCCAGCCGTACCCCTTGTTGGTGTTGGCTGCTTCCTGGGTCATCACGTCGAGAATCTCGCGGCAGGCGTTGTCACAGTTGTCCGGATTGCCGTAGATGGTGATGGCCTTCTCTGTGGCGCCGTTGCTGTCCTTCCTGTGCACATCTACCCTGCGCGCGTAGATAGGAAGCGTCAGACGCGCAGATAGAGGGATTCAGACGCGGAGATTGGGGCGTTGGGGCGTCAGACGATTAGATCGGGGAAGGGCCTCAGACGCGGAGATCAGAACCTTCAGGCAGGGAAGATCAAGGACGGCAAAATAGCTGATCGGAAACGTCAAAAAGCGTCCCTTTGGTTGAGGACGTCAGAAGAGACGGCTGGAGACGCCAGTCGGAGATACTAGAGATGTGGGAGAGAGTGACCGGAGAAGTCAGGAGGGATGGCTGGAGACGCTTAATGACGCGATGACACTGAGGACAGATAACGACGAGGATAGCCCGGGAGAATGATAGCAGAGCTAAAACGATGCTACACATCCTACTATCAGACAATGCCACCTATCCTATCCGTCGGGTAAAATCACCTATCCCACCTATGGGCTAATGCTAAGACTGAAATGGATGCTTTCTCCTTTGGCTGCTTAAAGGAACGTCACAAGATACTTTCCGCGCTTTTTGCATAAGGCAGTGAAGAACACCTGTAGCATATCCCCACTAATTAGCAGCCTTCTATGTCACATCTACAAGCAATAACAATGGCCTTAGACAGCTATTTGCAGGACACGCATCACATGCACATACATCGCCCTCCGCCCAGCGCCTGCACGACGCTCGTCGGCTCCGACCAGACCTCAGCGACGCGTCGACATACCATGATTTTTTTTATAAACAATTTATGTTTACTGTGTACCCATGACTGGATCACTTTTCAGCATGACCTTGCACAACATCGCTAATGTTGCTGGTCGGACCCGGTGCAGGTAATCTCGATTGCCAACCCTGGCATGCCGCTGATGTTAATCTGAGACATGGCTTGACGAGGACATTCCCCGCGGCCTGACCTGATCACCTAGTGACGTTCCTGTGACCTGATCTTGTAGTCCGGGCGATCGCAGTGCTCCGACCTCACCCATTGCGGATGTCTTGCATGATCTTGTGGGCCGTATTATGCGCGTAACTTGGAACGGGTGTTCTGCGTGACCTGGCAGTGTTGGCCTCACCTGGCGTGGGTGTTCTGCGTGATCTGGCGGATGGTGTTGGCCTCACCTGGCGCGGGTGTTCTGCGTGATCTGGCGGATGGTGTTGCCCTGGCGGCCGATGATGGCGCCCACCATCTCGCTGTTGACGAGGATGCGCAGCGGCAAGTCGGTGTGCGGCGCCGCCTGGCCCGGGAAGCCGCCTCCCCCGCCGCCGAAGCCGCCGCCCGCTCGGCCGTTGTGCCGCGGCCGCGGCGCACGGTCGCCATCGTCGTACTCCGCCTGGTTGTCGGCCATTGTCGAGGCGTGTCCTCAGACCTGCAACGTGGACAGACTGGTCATCAGCAGCAGCGCAGACTTGTCCCCAGCCCAGCAACATAGGGGCCCGACTACTCTACATGGTGGTAACATGCCGTTGTCATTCGTTACATAACTTTTTGTGTTAGATATAGTCCCAGTCTTTAGTGGGATGGATTTCTGGGATCAGCGCTGACGCTAAGCAGTGCTTGTTGCGTGGGTCCTGACCTCAACATCCGACCGCGAAATGTCGGTCAACGGCAAAGTTTTCGGCGTGAGATTAACATGTGGGTGTCATTGGGCTTTACGACGCACTCCGATGCTGAGGCTATATGGCATTGCCTGCCTGTCACACTGGAAGGAAGTGCAGGCATCGGGGGGATCGATTTCCCGTATCTCTAGTTTCCTAGGCGCACAGTGTTTAACGCAGACACATTAGCCGCTACACTATCGGCCCGCCGTGAGCTTCACGTGCCGCAATACTAGGCGCGGTCGATCCGGTCCTCTGACGTCACCTGACCTTTGGCGCTGCCGCTGCCACTGACCGCATACCATCCCAGTTAGTGGCAAATAGTGGCACCTAGAGCGATTCGAATCCAGCCCGCCACCACGGGTGGATCAATCAGAAGGCAGATGCTCCAACCAACCGAACTACCGGACCGGGAATGACTAGCCGGTTTCTGGACCGCGGCTAAGGCTTGTTTTCAGATCTGTAACATATATAAATCGACAATCGCCCGTAGATGTATTTGGTTCTAAGGCCTCTATGCCATGCACAGTCGTGCTGGTCATTGCCCCCAGCCGTGACTTGTCAAACCCGCACCGCGGCCAGCCGGGCAATCGCGCGTAGTGGTGAACGGAACATGGCCTCGCAGTGGTGTTTCACAGCTTCTTTGATGGTTGAATATATATATATATATATATATATATATATATATATATATACCATGCCTACTGTTCAAGGTACATTTAAGGCCCTCCGTTGAGCATATACGGGGGCATGACTAATCAAGGCCCTATCCCGCCTGTTAAGTTCCGCACTGCCGTATGGACTATCGATGTTTTCAAAATTAAGTTTTGAACGGTCGGTACTTAACAGCGATTCAGTTTTCAATTCCTTGTAGATAGCTTACGTAGAAGTTACTTACCCAACTACGACGATGGACGAGGACATCAATGAAGGCAGGTTATTAATTAATGACCTTGTGATGAAAAAGACACCCTCAGAACTTCCGTTCTTCACTCCCGCAGAACAATAGCATGACAAGGACAATGTCAGTCAGTTGTGTGCAGAGTGATCACAGCGACTACAGGACGTAGCGTGCCGTGCTTCGCACTCCTTTATTCTAAATCACTGGTTCGGTTTGATATTGGTCACTGGTGCCAAAAGCTTGAAATTCGGTCATGATTCGTGATGTTCACCGCTTTTGTTCGCACATACATCTCCTTTTTACAGGGGGTAATACCTAAAACCTCTCAAACACTTCTAAGGAATCTGTGTCTAGATATTGTGACAATATCCTACAAGACCCATCAACACCATGCTGTGTGTCAGACAGTTTGCTGACGATATAAAATGAAGAGTAACATGCCAAAATATACCGTAGCCTCACACGAACGGGCAAGGTCTGAAAGACGCACCGGGTAGTCTGCAGGCCGAAGGCGCGCAGCAGTCACTAGAGACAGTCCTGCAGGACGACAGGACACATGCCATGGCCGGTCCACCAGTGACAGTCACTAGAGACAGTCCTGCAGGACGACAGGACACATGCCATGGCCGGTCCACCAGTGACAGTCACTAGAGACAGTCCTGCAGGACGACAGGACACATGCCATGGCCGGTCCACCAGTGACAGTCACTAGAGACAGTCCTGCAGGACGACAGGACACATGCCATGGCCGGTCCACCAGTGACAGTCACTAGAGACAGTCCTGCAGGACGACAGGACACATGCCATGGCCGGTCCACCAGTGACAGTCACTAGAGACAGTCCTGCAGGACGACAGGACACATGCCATGGCCGGTCCACCAGTGACAGTCGCTAGAGACAGTCCTGCAGGACGACAGGACACATGCCATGGCCGGTCCACCAGTGACAGTCACTAGAGACAGTCCTGCAGGACGACAGGACACATGCCATGGCCAGTCCACCAGTGACAGTCACACGGCGTGCTACTTAGGAATGCTTGCATCAATACGAGGGGAGGGGGGGGGGGGGGCACTACCGGATGAACAGTCCGCAGTGACCTCCTAACGAGTCCACAACCGTATTGAAATTGAACGTTGCGCCAGCATAAATTGCGCAGGTAACAAACAAATGTGAAATGACACTCCTATCGCCCAGCCATGAGCCAGTGCCCAATGTCCTGACCTCGTATCTGCATCCGTGCAGCACGTTTTAAGTCGAACACAAATTCGCCACAGCTACTGGATACGTGAACTCAAAATTAAAGAGAATAAATACTCCCTGCTCACAACTATACCAGCAAACCATTGCATTTGTCTTGCTTTTTACAATGTATGTGTTCTGTGAGGTTCGCAACACACTAATGCGTCAAAATAGTTGTGTCATAAATGCCACGAAACTTTTAAACACTCTGTCGGGACTGTATTCCAAATCCTAGATCCGCCACTGTAAGCAACAGGCCCTTACCCCCTGGGTCAATCGCAAACATTCTTCTATTTGCACCGGTAGAGGCGCGCACGGTCGTTGTCATGAAGACGGTGGTCGCGACTGCAGGGAAGAGACAACACTAATTGTGTAGTGTAGAAGCGTAGTAGCAATGGGTAGTGCTGTTACAAAGCGTGGACAGCGTACTTTGGACTAGAAAATAATTAAAATTGATATCCTTATTATGCCTTGTCGGTGCTGCAGTGGCAATTCCCAGTGATATTTTTGGACGTAACTAGTTCTGAGGTTTCACTAGAGTATGCTTTTGAAATATGCCCCAAAGGTAGGGCAATGCCTTTAAGAAGGAAAGTCGACCAACCAAATGAGGGGAGAAACCCGTTTTTTTTTACCTAATGCGTGGTGGATAATTTTTCACTTCTGAGTCCTCCCTCCCTCATTTTGCGAAACTACGCCTCAGGCTAGGGTCGTACTTAGTCTCCATTTGGGCTTCAAACGCCCCTCTACTTCTACTTGGGCGTCCCTCTAGTAGACTGTTCAGCGCTCCTCTATATAGGTTAGGGGAGTCCCAATATTTAAACCCTCGAGTCCTCTGACGCAGGCATTCGGCTCGCTTCGAGGGCACTTCGTCACCACCGCTTGGGACCTCTTTCAAGGCTTTAGGGGTCTCTCCCTGTCCGACCGCGGGACACCTCTTCCCCTACAGCCGGGGGATGGGGGAGGGGGGAGGGGCATCACTTTACTGGGGCTTGGGGCGCATTGTAATTGGATTTACGGCACCTCTCCGTCTCTGAGATTGTGGAGCCGCTCTAATCGGGTTTTGTGACGCACCTCTTCTAGCTCCCTGCAACAGGGACGACCTTACTGGCTAAAACGGCAGTAACAGTTTTCAAGTGTAAGGGCCAAAGACTTGGCACTCTCGCCGTTTGGACGCGCCCCTACCTGCGCGCCATCTTGTGAAACACATGCCATGCCCACAAGCAGAAAGATGTCGATTATTGACTGACTCATTTCAATAAAGTAGTTGTCCAAACGTTTCCCCGGCAGTTATTAACTCCATCGTTACGAAAAAGAGCGCGTGTTTCACAAAATGTCACGTGTCAAACCTGCCTCCCCGCCACTGTTCCATCGGACATTTCCACGAAGCGTTGTGAGCGACCGAGCGAGCAGGCCGGCCCACCGGTTTCCTACATGTACGTGGTGTCAGGCGGTGGCCTCCTGGTGTCATGTACGTGCTGTCGGGCAGTGCCCTCCTGGTGTCATTGAGTACTCGGTCTTTGTCCAGTTCGTCCAGTGAGAGCGGCACGGCGGGCCGCCGCTGAATGGGAGGCGCGTAAGCTGGCCCCAGCAGGCGGGACCTTTCCAGAAGTGCGGCGAGCTTGGCAGCCGCCCGACCAATACAGTGACGGCCCAGAATGTGTGAGCGTATGTTAGTAGGGGCGTACCAGATAGGGGGTGGTGAACTATTGACATCTGCGTCTGAGCGTGTTGTTAGTAGTGGCGTACAAGGTAGGGGATGGTGAACTATCGACATATGCGTCTGAGCGTGTTGTTAGTAGTGGCGTACAAGGTAGGGGGTGGCGAACTATCGACATATGCGTCGATGATACGTTTGCACACACGGCAGGTGCCTCCCGATAGAAAACCCCTGCGTGCGTGCGTGCGTGCGTGCGTATGTGCACGCGTGAGTACGTGCATGCGTGCGTGTGCTATGGTGTCGGTAGCCGCCGCGTGAAACCTCAAAATCTTCAGTTAAAATAAAACGCAGGTGATGTTTCGAACTTAATGCATACATGCAACTGACACCCTTTCAGGATAATATACAGACTCGACTATATAACCTACGATTCAACTAAGCGTGAAAAGGCACTCATTGGAGATTAAATCATAACGATGATGAAATTGTCTCACTCGAAGTCTGTTATAGGCCTTGGCTGTCCTTTTCCTACAACACTTCCGTATAGTAAGCAACCATGCACTGAAGTGATTCATCACACCAATTTCAAGGTTCTGATAGTTTGTTCCTGATTAAAAGGATTCAGTCAATATCTGATCCGGTACCGAAGCTTCAAGACTGTAAGGGGATTTATGCAGAGACTGGCCAACCTACCCGATGTATACTGCTCCTAAATACGGAGGCTCGCTAACCAGCCGCACTGTGGTGACAACGCCGCTATTAACGTCTTGCATACCGTCTAATATGCGTAAAGAATCACAGATTTCCCTCCTAAACATCCTCCCAGGAACCCCGTCATTTTATTCGGCCTGTGGATCATAGCTTATCAACAACACTACGACGCGTTTGCAAAGTGTGACAGGCGAGGTGCGACAACGGAACTTTTGCGAAACATCTCGTCACAGAACTTCGTAGAGTTGTATATCAGCAGACATTCTCGAAGAGCACATGTCAAAAGACTTACGTCAGAGCTCACTGGTTTTTACATCTGGCGACACCCGGACCCTAAGCACTCGGCGACCCAACCAAAATCTCCGAGGAATTCCATCTCGCCGTACCACATAATCCGGCGCCATTCGATCGCTGTAAGTTGTGAGTGAATCAGAGACGCAAGCGAGGCGAGGACCACGTGACTTCTGAGGCGCCGAGGCCCCAGATTCATCTCGAAAATATCGTGCATGTGGAGGACCAGAAGTGGTGCACATAACACAAGTTAGCGCGCATCGGCTATCCCCGCTGCCCTTTTCTGACGCACGAATGCATAACCCGTGTTTGAGGCTTTCAAGGCAGGTTAGGGTAGGTCGGATTTGAGGGAAGTCAGTAGGTTGGTAGGTTTCAGGGTAGGTTGGTAGGTTAGCAGATTTGAGGATAGGTTGGTAGGTTGGTAATTTGAGGGTAGGTCGGTAGGTTGGTAGATTTGAGAATAGGTCGGTAGGCTAGCAGATTTAAGGTAGGTCGGTAGGTTGGCAGATTTGAGGATAGGTTGGTAGGTTGGCAGGTTTGAGGGTAAGCTGGTAGGTTGGCAGGTTTGAGGGTAAGTTGGTAGGTTGGTAGGTTTGAGGGTACGTCGGACTGCGCCAACACGCTAAACTGCCAGAAAAACCTGCCGCTGAGCTGAGATTCCACGACCGGATAATAGAGTTAGGGCTCACGCAAAAAGCACCGCTTACACAGCATCTACCTCTAATACATAAACACATCCAATAAAAAAGGTTCGGGCCAAATCCTAAAGACTTGTTTTCACCACCTATGCTACAACTATGTCCGTCTGCAACAACGTTTACTTACAACAAAGTCGCAATGCAACGGCATGAAAAAATGAACGATTTTGGTCGATGGATATTTGAGGATCCAAGCCGAGGAAACTTACCGATCCGATACAGACATTTAAAAATTAAGTCAGTGGGCACTTGAAGAGCTCGCAGCTAACATCATACAGGAACAAGCCATCACATGTGCACGATTGGTGGCATTTTTTATGTTCCTCAGTAGCCACATTTGTAATATTATAACATTTCATGATAGTAATGACGGTCCGCTCACTACGCAGCATGGTTTTTATACAACTGAAAAAAGATACGGTGTAACCCTGGTAAGCAGTCCATATTGGTCTGCGCTCAATCCGGAGCGCCGTGCAGGATTTTCTCTCTCATAAAACGTCGCGAAGCACATTCGGCGGGCGGTGGCGGCACATACCCACATGCAAAGAAACATGTAATTTCATGGGCGTGAGAAAGCTACCTAAAACACAAATAATCATGTCCAAAGTGAGCTCATCACAAAACCCTGACCTAAAAAGTCAGTACCATAGCAAGGATCTGGCTCCGGAGGACGCCAAACCGGGTCGCAGGAAACATCTCCCTTCCAGACAATAAGGCCCCCCCCCGTCAAGGTCTCCCGCCAAGATGGTTTCACTTAGTGAATTATGGGGACCGTTTTCGGCTTTGAATCCTACACTGATGTCTCAGCGGCACGTTTTTATGGTTTAGAAACCCTTGCCAGACTGAGCGCGTCCCTGTTCACCGATGTTCCGAACCTGAGTGCGCCTCCGATGATCGGTCGGCGGGTCGTGACCCAGCCCACTGCCGGGGTAATAATACATCCTGGTATCGTGGGCTGCTGTGCGAGAGGCGCCGATTCCTGCAGCGCTGAGAGCTCTCAGACGTCCTAACTTTTCTTTCCGGTGGCAGAGTCTGCCCGCCAGCAGTTTTTACTTCCTGCTCCCAAGCCGTTCACCGCAGCGCCACGCAAAATTGAAGCCATTAACGAAAATAATAAAGAAATCATGTGTAAGAACTTTCAGGGCATTATATCCAAAGAGACAATGCCAGGCCTTCGTTATTTTTGTAGGCAACACGCAACGCGAAGGGAGTCTCAAACACAGCGCTGTGCGGTGCACCTCCCCGCATTTCAATTTGAGTATACGTCGTCGGCTCATGCGTATAGTCATATAGATAACAAATACTGGGTATATATGCAAATATCCTGACAGAGGCGAATTCCGGCACTGAACATATGGGAGACTGCTGGCGTTCCTCGCAGGGTTGTTGGTTCGTACGTTACAAAGCAGTACACTAAAATTACCTTCATAATGCACCGGGGTCAGACTTCCAGAACGTCAAAATTCGCCGCAGGCCACTGTACGTCTGCATTATTGGAGGCCAATAAAAGCCGGGGTTTGCTACCATCTTATTTTGGGACAAACACGTGCATCGCGCCGAATACGCGTCGCCACTATTTAGCAGGAGCGCCATCGGGTGTTCACAGATAGGAGCCAAGTGGGGGTTGGCGAAGAGAAGTGGCGCTAATGGTCAGTCTCCTAAAGTTAAGCTGAATTTGCCCCCAACGCAAAATATATTTCGCGTCACAAATAAGCTGCCAGGACATTATCTAACGTTCATATAACGGCACAAATGTACTAGCCCAAAATAACGATTTTGGCCACCCTGAAACTTCTAAGCTTTCATTTCAGTGTTTAGGTTATGATACTCGAAAAAGCAATACGACACTGTAGTACTTGTTATACAATGAAAGATCCGTATCTTCCAAGTTGAACAGTTTCTGTCCCATGATAACTGGTGCCTAGACATGGACAGTGGTCATCCATAATTTAACCTTTTCTTACTACCCGTTTTCACTTGGCCATCGTTTCAATTTCTTACATACATATGACATTTGTCCCTTGAGAATATCAAAAGCAGTTTCACGATATGGGAGGCCCATGTGAGGGGAGGGGCAGAAATGTATGATTTCGGCCCCCGGAGGGCCACGCCAACTTCAAGGGGAACCGACCTGGCTTTCCTTGGCCCAAAGGCCCGTCCTTGGCTACACCACCGTATAAAGTAAATACCGATACGAACAAAGTTCCTGCGCCGCGTTCTTGACTAGCCCTTTGCTGGTCGGTTATCAGAAGCGATACCAGTATGCGTCTGTTGTCGCAAGACGTGCGTTATGCGCGCATCGTAATAATTCATCGTGTGGACACCGGGATGTCGGTACACTATCTCAGTGCGCGTGGCCCGTCCGCACAACACTGCATTCTCAGACTGGGACAGCCGTAACCCTGGTCTCCGCCTCCCCAGCGCCGTTCCCACCCATCCCCACCACTGCATTGTCTGCATCCGCCGCTGGGCTCTCCCGAAGTACCCCTCCCCACGCGTACCGCACCCTCGCACCACGCGTCCGCCGACGGCGGCGCACGCATGCCGCGCGCAGGGGCCCGCGTGGGTTCCACTATACCCCAGCGGGCGGAACGGTGCGGGAGGGAGAGGGGAGGGAGACCCGCCCGGCGATGTCAACCCGCCGGCGCCCGTCTGACCTCTGCAGGTCCGCTGGAACGCCTCCCGCGGCGTTCCAGCGGCCGCGGTCCACCGGCCGACACACTCGTGATTCCACGGCCGCCGACCGCCGCCCGGCAGCCGACGTTAACGGCGCCCCGGGGCGAATCGATGCATCAATCAATAGATGCGGCACGCGGAGGCGGCCGGGTCCGCCGCCGCCGCTGTCGCGCTCGCCAGCCGGCCACAGGCGAGTCTCTGTTCCCCACGTGGCACAGAAAACCCGCCGTGACAGCGGCGGCGGACGGCGCGGCGTCGCCGAGCGGGCGCGGGCGCGGTGGGCCGTGTCTAAGCGGCGGCGGCCGCGGCCGGCCGGCGCTGTGCGGCGGCGAACCCGCCGCCGCCCACGTACCTGCGCCGCTGCCGTGCCCAGTTCGCTGTCGAGACACGCTACCGCCGGAAGATCACTGCACAGGCGCTCGCTCGCAGTCGGGCGCCCAGTCCCGCGAACGATGGCCGCCAGCCGGCCGGTACGCGCCGCCAACAGCTCGACAGATGGCCACTGCGCCGACGCGACGGGCACGCACACGCCAGCTGATCGGCGCCGCCGCCGCACCGGCCGGCCACCACGTAGACCGCTCAGTCACGCCGCCCCACCGCTCGGTCGCCGTCCGCCACCTGTCGGCCAGTCTGAGAAGCACGTCTATAGGGAAGCGCCGTTGGTTAACGAGTGCGCTGCCGGCGAATGAACGGAAATGACAGATGGCGACGTCATTACAAGTGTAGATGACTAACTTACATCCTGGTAGGTCGACAATAAACAACTGCCACCACCAGCCCAACGATCGCCGTGAAAGCGCGAGATTTCTCTATGCAAATCTAGGCGTCGGCGAGGGAGACTGAAATTCAGAGGCGAAGTCTATCTTGGCAAGGACGGGGGTGGATGGCACGTAGCTTAATCTAGGGTCCCCCTGAAAAAGTCCTTACCCCTTACAGTCATCGAATATAGCCTAAGTTCTTCGAAACGGGCGCACTTTCTTCTTTTTCAGTCATGCCGACGGACCCTCCATTGAGCTGCTTATCGATTGGAGGCTCAAAAGACCCTTTCTTTTCGCCACCCCGTACGTAGAACTTCAAGGGGCCCATTTCCCCTTCCAGCCAGAGGCTAAATGGCCCTTTCGTCCCATCCCGCGAAACATACAAGCCACCATCCTGGTGGCACGGCCCCTGTCGATTCGGAGGCATATGGAGGGAAGCATCATGCATCGTCCCCTCCAGTGGCGCCGCTACGGGGCGGGGGTGGAGCACGGGTGTCGATTTGTATTCTTTTGGTGGGCCACTGCCCCCCCCCCTCCGATATCCGATTTAGCCCCCCCCCCAACAGTGAGTTTGACCCCTAACTTTCTAGAGCCAAAGTACAGGCAGTGCAGCGCAAATGGGAAACAAAAAATATATCAAGTCAAAAAAGGTTTCTCCTAATTGTTTCACAGGCAAAAAGACAAAGAAAATGAAAACCGCGGTGTCATGTCCAGTTGATTGCAGCTGACCGAGCTAGTCACGCTTTAAAAGCTCCTCTTCGCACCATGGTTACTTGGGTATTGAGTATTTTCTGTTTTTTATTGCATGATGCCTGCTTTTAATTACACGATGAATGTGTCTTGTTGACGCAGATATCGTTTTGTGGTATTTTCTGAGTGTTTTTGCACTATCCAATGATGTTTAAACACTCACAGACTGCAGCAAGTTGCATTACTTTGCCACAAGACGATACGATGTCTTACCGGAAACTAAAAAGAAACCGGTTAAGTGTTGGCACCCAGAAAAGTTAACAAATTTTCAGACGTTGACGTTCGAAAAACCCTCGAAAAAGCCAACTTTCAAATAGACGTGAATATTCGATGGAACAGTTATGAAAACTTGATGGTCATCAGCAGCCCACTAAAGCGATGGCAGCAGTCGTCCAACAATAACCATCAAACACAACATTAGCCGTGTCGAACACATCAGACTCCATTACGCTGAGGGAAAAGTAGGTCAAAGCGGGAAGAAACCTATTTTAAATGTATTTATAGCTAGCGCTTCCCGCTCAGCCTCCACCAGCCTATTTTGCGAAACTACACGCCTGCGGTCGAGACCGTGACACGTGACAGTTTCGCGACCAGATTACTTCAGCGTCAGATCTAGGATTCAGGGCCCATTTCCTAAGTAGGGACAAGGTCAGGCCCACGATGTACATTGGTCGGGGCCGCTGGGACAATGAAGGGCCCCTGTATCGATCTGGGGACCACAGTGCATAACAATGGTCCTGTATGGCAAGGAGCCCAGAATCGGCCTGCAGCAGTTTTCGAGAGGCCCCGCAGAAGGACCTTCGATCAAGTGCCTAATTGAAAGGCACGAAGGACTCGTTGTAGGTCACATTAAGGACCCGGTCTGCAGGACCAGGCACTGTAATGTCAGTCAGAGAGTCTCTTACACTGCTTGGCGTCACCCTAGGACGATGAGGGCTTCTATTTGGTCAGAGACCACCAACAACGGACATTCGGCTCCGTGTCGGTCTGAACCCTGGGAGCCCGCCTATTTCCCAAACAAGGACAGGGCTGGGACCCACAATTTGCATCGGTCGGGAACCCTGAAACAATGAGGTCCGTGTGTCGGTTAGGGGCCCACAGGGCATAACAGAGGAATCTTTGTCGGTGAGGGGCTCCGAGTCGGCCGGGGTACTGGGAGCATAGTTAATAAACAGAGAAAATATGTCGTTTAGAGCAACCTTTTCTCCTTAAAATTTTGCCGATAGTTATAAGTGAGCTTGTTTAATCATATCTGATGATTGCTTCAATATCTTCAAATGTGAAAAATTCCCTTCAAGTAGAAAGGATTTCTCTGGACAACGCAATATCTCTGTAAAGTAAATATCCTCCCAAATACGGCATTGTTTGATTGCGTCATCATACCCTGCACAGTATTGATTGAGAGCCAACTGGCGCCCGTTATATCTGAAAATCGTGCTCACGAACATCAGATATGTGCGACTCGACAATCTTATTCTTTTTGGCCTTTATCACAGCATGGCTATGACGGCGGGTTGTAGTTAGATTAATATGGCGTCATGGATGCCTGGGTGACCTTGAAATAGTCTCCCCGAAAAAAGTCTGCAAATCTTCGCCGGCCTGTAGCCCAGTAACAAGATGGGCTTAGGTCTTAAGAAGAGCGGGACTGTAAACTGCGAACTGCGCCGAATGATCTTCAAAATAACTGTTGCAATTAAAACACCATATACAAATCCAGAAAACACTTCTTTTGAGCTCCTGTACAAGAAATCTCACTAGCACCACTTTTAGGTTGATCTCCTGAACGGCTGAGCATCTGATCTGATCGGCATCTGAACAGCGACAAGAGCAGTTGTGATTACGCCATTACGTCATGAGTCAGTTGTGCAGTGCGTGCTGCACGCGCTAATCTGTTCCGAGTGTCGATCTGAAAAGAGCAAAGGTGAAATCTACGGCCCGGGATGCCTTCTGTATGCGAACGAGTTTAACGATTTTCCGATAGGCGGTCGTTTTCGCCCCTCGTTGATGCCGCCAAACATTACTGGTACCCCGACGCGGCGTTTCCCATGGAGACTGCAGCGTCGGGCGCCGCTGTTCTTTCATACATTTAGGCTTAAAGCGTACAGGCTTAAAACTATTTTAATCTTTTTCGCTAATGGATTCTAAAGTGGTTATAGTTTTGCCCAATTGAGCAAAGGCTGGAGATATCGATGCAAACTTTTGACACGGTTCAGATCTATGCTGGCGTTCAATCTACGAGTCCGTCGAGATGTTTGTAAAACCCTGAGAAAGTCCTGCAACGCATTTGACTGTCAGCTTTCGATCGAAAGGGCGGAATGAACGATTGGAAAGTGAATAGAGCCGGTGGTTTATGCGATTCAAATTGCAGTTATTGATCTCCTGGCTGATGTCACTTCATTTCCTTATAAATGCATGCAGCATTGTATCGTCAAGTAGCTTCTTGATTACCATTCAGTCAAAGAAGTTCAACATATCACAGAAAAATAGATATTTTGACACAGACAGCCAAATCCTGTGGCCCATTTTGTGGGAGATTAGGGAGACTGAGTGCTCTGCTGCTTTTCCAGCAGCACGGCTCTTTGTTAACTGTGCTACCCTTCTTCCCTCTGATCCCCTCTTCTTTACGTGCTTCATATTTATGCATATCCACCTATGTCTAGACCTCCACGGTGCGCAATGGACATAGTTTTCCGATTCGAAAATAAGAATCTGAAAAATGAAATGGCCGTAATCCGGGAAATTTTGTCAGGGGATCATTAAGTTCCAGGAGGCAGCACAGTGAAACCTAAGCCCTCTTGATGCAAGCCTGGATCCGCCCCTAGTGATACGCTTGAAAAGTAAACGATGAAGGGTTTTCTCCGTTTGTACTGTAGCCGCGGGACGTCCGTGGCCCACCCAATGACCTGTGACATCCATGGCCCACCCAATGACCTGTGACATCCGTGGCCCACCCGATGACCTGTGTAGCACGAAGCCAATTGCAAAGACGCGCTTGAATTTCACATTCATTCACAGGTGTTTGAAATGCGATGCTTGCGCCTCGTTTCATTAGCACAGAACATGAACCCTTTGAACGAAATAGCTCAGTTATTAGGCTTTTGTGTCGTAAGGAATGCATAGATAAAAGCCTGATTTGAAGCGTGCCCCCATGTTGCCAATTTTAGTACAAGTTATTGAATTGCCTTTATTTCCAAGAACAAATAGTACTGATAGCCAGGTACCACTTCCCAAGGCCCAGACAAATATTGTAGGGGCCCGGCCCATCATTGGGGGAGGGGGACAGCTCATTGGGAAGAATAATAATGATTGGGGTTTTAGGGCGCGTGGACTTCAAGGGTCATTTTGCGCCCATAACAGCTAAGTGTTTACCGTGGTGTGTAAATGGCTGTGAATCCTACGTTTCTCGAAAATGAAAACAGCTGTCCGGTGCCAAGCATGCGAGAATCGTCACCAATAAGGTCTGAAAAGGTAAGACCTGACGCATCTCGTCCGAAGTAAAGTGCCCACTCTTCTCTGAACTGTGGGCAAGAGTGAACAACGTGCCGTACCGTAAGTGGCGCATCACAGCGAGGACATTTAGGGCGTTCTTCACCGTACAAAAGGTAGCTACGTGTTGCGTGCGTGTGGCCAATTCGTAATCTGCTGAGGGTTACTTCTTCGCGTCTCAACGTACGTGAGCTTGAAGACCACGGACCCAGTTGTGGTTTGATCATCTTTAACTTAGTGTTTACAATGGCGTCCAAGCAGCGTTGCCATTTCCCCTTCACAATGGTCGCGATTGCAGGGTAAAAGTCCCTTGCCGGCAAGGGTAAAGAACGGGTGCAAGGTGCACGCGCTGCCCGTTTTGCGGTCGCGTCAGCACGCTCGTTACCTGCGATACTCACATGGCTCGGTATCCAACATAAGACGACAGTTGCACCAGCAAGATCCAGCGCTCTCAGGCGAACTAAAATATCCTGTATAATGGGGCAAGGTGGGTTAAAGGTTGTCAGAGCCAACAGGCTGCTCAAAGAATCGGACAAGATCACGT